AATGCATCTATATAGCAACTCATATCGGACTATAAAATTATCTTAAAAATCTTAATAGTTAAAGAGGTACCTTCCAGTTAAGCCTAATCTCATAACAAATTTACTTTCTGGGTTAAAATAACAATGGATAACAAAAGATAGATTAACATTGTAAACAACATAAACAATAGTGTCCCATGATTCTTTGGTGCAATCCATGGGATTGAGCGGTTTCCCTTTAATCATTGTTCTAATACATGTCACGTAATTTTGGTATCAGTATTTGATTCATTGATTCTAAAATCGATATAATCAATAATCCATACTTTGTAAACAAAATCGAATATTCTATAATTATCAATCCAAAGCCTTATTGTCTGGCATATGAGGTGTGTTAATACAAAATATCTTACTGCGACAAAGGCTGTGTGGGGAACTTCCAACTCTTTGATTTCATCTTGGAACAGATTCGTCGGTGTACACATGATGTTCCATACAGGTGGCGCCATTCCATTCATTGGTCCATCTATAAGTTCGTATCCCATGTAAGGTAAGAAATCGCGACTGGTTGCACGGCTTTCCGAGAATGTTTCAAGTTGATACTGAAAATAATTATAACAATTTTGTTTTACACACGTACAGTAGTGTGGTAGTAAATCCCTTCGGGGTACCTAAATATGGTAGGGGTGTCACCGAGTGCCACAAGTATTTCGACATCCCTACCCCTCTCCAGACAGCCAAAATACGAAAAAGTATACCATTTCTCTGACAATGATTCTTTTCTGACCTGAACGAAGCTGGGTTTTTTTTAGCAATAATTAAATGCTAAATTGTAGATTTCTGCACATATACTTTTGCTCAAAAAGGGAATCCTATCTGGGGCTTTTTAATGGAAGTACCTTTCTCCTCAATTCCACATATTACACCAGTATGTGGGCTGTGCAACGATTCAAGGGTAGACGGGAAAAGCTTACATGTAAGGCACTAGACGGTATTATCGAACCAATGTTCATTTCTTTAGCAGGTTTTGATCCATAGCAACAGTGCTCACTGACAAACTGTATCATGGCTGCACGTGCATCGTCTTCACTAATATTGGAAGCACTGAAATAAATTGTAAATTAGATAAATAGTAAGGTATTTTGTTAACACTGCTTGTAAAAATAAAATAAAGTGAACACTACTATAGCCCCATCAAAAATATGATTGTAACAACACAGATCAATAAAGCAGGAAAAAATATGTGTACGGTTTTAGAGGTGTTTTATCAACAATTGTTTCAGCACATCCCCAATTTGTTCTTTCATTGTTATATTATTGTCTTTAACATGTTTATTAATCTTTGTTTCAGAATTGAAGATATTACCTTACTAAGACTATTAATATACTTACGATGAATATTCCTCTTTTGGTTTCTCTGTTTCTGCTGGAACTGCCAAAGGTGGTGGAGGAACTGCCGAACCTGTATTGAGAAATGAGTGATTTTCAAACATTATTAAAATTTGAATTGGCAATTGTTTATTTGTCATTCTGGTCCCAATAAACTGAACTATAGATGTAATTATCGAATGATAATTACAACATAGACCTTACAGCATAGACCTTAGAAAACAATGTTCTCCAAGGTCTATGATTACAGACTGTTTCGCCTATTTAGGTATGTATGTGACAAGTCACATGTGGATACACAATCTAACCAGACAATGTCGCAATTAGGATATCAGCTCACCATTACAAACTAGATTTTCATGAGATTTGATATGAACTACCGACATTGCTATTTTGTTTTATTGCAATGCTGTTTTTTTCTTTGTTCACAGAAATATCAACCTCTCGATGCTTACCTTCACCAAAACCGACGTTTTCATATCCCTGCACAGGTTGATACCCTGGTGTGTTTTCTACGCTAGTTGGTATAGCAGCTTGAGGGGCTACACTGTTGGGATCGTCCTCTGGATCTGAGTCTGGAGCGTCATCCCATTGATAAGGTTGACCATCCTGTCCAGGCTGCCACTGGTCAGCAGGCTGTCCTGTCGGCTGACCTGTTTGCCGCAAAAAAAAAAAAGAATTTTAGAATACGTTATAATAGTTTGTTCCACAATAACGAGCTTTGTTGCGTTTTCTTTCCACGTCCTAAATCATACATTTTATTCCCACAATAATATATCTCTATAGTTGTTTTTGGTGAAGGGTAGTCAACTATTATATTTGCATTATATTTGCAAGAAGAATAATTTAACAATTGGCGCAGTGTTCGGACAGACTGTCTAGTTTCCATTCTATCAAAGACTGTATGTATTTCCTTAAAATAAGAACGCAGGCACAAATAAGTGTTTCTCCGGTGTAGCAGCGCCGTCATCGGCAAAAGTCATGAAAAGGTATTTAAGAAGTGGCTGATAATCAGCTGATCAATTGGGTCACAATTCTAGTTCTCTGAATTGATTATTGACGTGTTGAGGAATTTTAGTGGCAACGTTTAGGTCAGGACTCCGAAAACTGCGACCGACCCAAAAGCCGACAAAGTGAGCGTGTACTTGTACTTACTTACTTAAGTACTGTTGTACTTTTCGCGAAGGGAACGCCTATTGACATTTCATTCATAAACGTAAAGATGCTATGAATGG